CCGCGTTAGGACCCCATCATTTCTCAGCAGGACTGTGCATCCTTCTCTAGCTGATGTACTTACCTGTACAGTCCCACCCTTCTTTGACCACCACCTGACAGTAAGCTGCACAGCAACCTCAGCGATCTTGTTATTGTGCAAATCTGATCTATAGCAGTTCCTTGATTTAGGCACACTGGTAGCCAGTGGGCCAAACCTGGCTGGCAGATTTGTTTTAATTCGAATGCCTTCAAGCAGGTAGGTACCACAAGCCCTACCACTCACTGTTGTATGTACTGATTGCATTCTTTCAGATTCACACTTCTTTCCTGCCTGGGCCCTGTAAGATTTGAATTTGTCCGTCTACAGTATACAATCCAAATACTGCAGCTGGCATAATCTTTCTGAAATGAAGAAGAGGCTATGTTTCTGCCTTGCTGTGCTCAAAAAATGTAGCTATTAATTGGCTACTCTTTGTCTAGATGTATTCAATTCAGGAAATACTGTGTCCCTACAATGTTACCCAGCACTCTTCTACGTGCTGTGCCAGGGACACAAGAGCAAACAAAACAGACCAACATCTCTGCCTTCATTAGGCTTAAATTTGATGAGAGGAGACAAGTGCTGTGGAGATAAAGCATGGAAGGGGAAGGGAGTATGGTGGGGTACCATTTCAGATCCGCTGGCCAAGGAAGGCCCACAGAGATGGGGGCATGTGCTCTAAAGACATGGGGGGAGGGGTGGAATGCATTCCAGACAGAAACAGATACAGTGGCCCTGGAATGCTGGAGGCCTGTCCCTCCAGTAGCTTCTCAGTTGAATCCTAGTTGTCCCTCAAGAATCAGCTCAAAGGCAGTTTCTCCCAAGAAATTTTTCCTACCATTCCCAGGTAGAATGGCATTCTTCCTCCCATAGATTCTTACATATAGCTCAGATAATTTCATGATTCTGTCATCATGTGTAGATATTGGCCTCAAAAATATCCACTGAAAAAAATAAGTTACCTGAAGGATAAGCAGACATGATGAGGCGCTCTGGTGAAACTCTCCTACTGCATTCTCCTAACGCAGGGATGTTATCTGGAATTCTTTGGAAAAAAGGTTTTGGAATCAAAGTCCAGATTTCAGTTTATCAGCTGAGGGACAAATCCCTCAGCCTTGTTTAAGCCACCATTTGTACGTTGTCCCATGAAAACGCATGATAGAGGCCTAACTCTGTAACAGCATTTAGCAGGCATAAATAAGTAAATCATAGTGCTTTTCTCCTTCCTGGAAAGCAAATTGCTTTCCATCATAGATTCCCCCAGTGGTAGCTGTGGCCACAAGAGGGCACCATCAGCGTAACTGAAAAGCATGGCTGCTTTGCCTACTCAGGCTCCACCAGCCACCAGCTCCTGCCAGCTTTAAGTCCACTGTGTGTGAACTCTGAATGAAGAATGCCAACTGACAGGCATATGGTGGTGATGAGCTTGGTACCACCAAGTATATTACAAGCAGACGAGGAGAAACTAGTATCCAGTGCCGTGGGGAAGAGCAAAGGCTGATCAGGATTGGAATGTGGGTTCCACAACCACAGTGCACAGCTGTACCTCCCTCAGCTTCACCTGTAAAACAAGGTCGTGCCAGGCCTCTGCTACAGGCTGTGCGCTGGCCTCAGTGAGCTCAGTCTTGCTCGATGGATGGATGAACAAACAGATGTGATGAGAGCTGCAGGGAAGAAGTCCTGGGGGCACGTGGTCACTGCTCACCTGCTGTGGATACACAAAGTCCCCAGCTCTGCGCTCTGCCCCTCTCGACAGTGCCTCTACCGTGCTGCTCCCCAATAACCGAGGGCCCTGTGTGCGGAAGCCATGCGAGACGATAAACCAGCAAGGGGCTGCGTGAAAGAGCATATATCTCACAAATTAGAAAGAAAAAAACTCTAAGATGATATTTAAAAGTTGATTAAAACACATGCCTTAAAGGACAATCTCTTCAACAACTGGTGCCAGAAAAGCTGGATATTCACATGGAAAAAAAAAAAAAAATAGCTGGATCCTTACCTTGAACCATACACAAAAACTAACTAAAAACAGATCCGAGACTTAAAATTATAAAACTCTTAGAAGAAAACGTAGACGAAAGGCTTCATGACAATGGATTTGGCAATTATCTCTTGGATATGATACCAAAAGCATAGTCAACAAAAGTAAAAATAGACAGATTGCACTACGTCAAAATTTAAAACTACGTCAACAAGAATCAAAAGGCAACCTCCAGAATGGGAGAAAATATTTGTAGATAATATATTTGATAAGGGGTTAAAATTCAGGATATTTATGAAGAAATACCTAAAATTCAAGAACAAAAAAATCCAATTAAAAAAATGGACTTGAATAGACATTTCTCCAAAGAAAGTATATTAAGTGGCCAAAGAATATATGAAAAAATGCTCATTAATCATTAGGAAAATACAAGTCACAGTAACATATCACCTCACACCCAGTAGGATGGCTACCATCAATAAAACAGAAAATAACAAGTGTTGAAACTGGAACCCTTGTGCACTACTGGTGGGAATGTAAAATAGCACAGCCACAATGGAAAACAGTATGGCAACTCCCCAAAAAATTAAAAATAGAATTATTATATGACCTAGCAACTCCAAAAAGAATCGAAAGCATATTCGCACACCCACGCCTATAGATTTTGTGTCCCATCCCCCTCCCCCAATTTATATGTTGAAACCTCAATCCCCAATAAGATGGTATTTGGAGATGGGGCCTTTGGGAGGTAATTAGGTCATGAAGGTGGAGACACTCAGGATTAGAGCCCTTATAAGAAAAATCAAGACAGCTTGCTTCCTCTCTGCTCTCCACCACGTGAGGATATGAGAAGATGGACATCTGCAAACCAGGAGGTGGGCTCTTACCAGATGCCAGATCTGCTGGCATTTTGACCTTGGACATCCCAGCCTCAGAACTGTGAGAAAAAAAATGTTGTTTACCCAGTCTGTGGCAACTTGTTAGAGCAACCCAAAGTGACAGCTTGGCTTGTTTGGCAGTATTATTCACAATAGCCACAAGGTGGAAGAAACCAAAGTGTCCGTCAGTGGGTGAACGGATAAACAAAAGCTGGTATATACATACAATGGAAAATTATTCAGCCTCAAAAAAGAAAGAAATTCTGACACGTGCTACAACACGGACGAACCTCAAGGACATTAAGTGAAATAAGACAATCACAAAATGACAAATACTGTATGATTTCACGCATATGAGTTATCTAGAGTAGTCAAATTCAGAGAGACAGAAAGTAGAATGGTAGCTGCCAGGGACTAGGGGGAAGGGGGAAATGGGGAGCTCTTTAATGGTTATGGATTTCAGTTTTACGACGAAAAAGTTCTGGAGACTGATTGCACAACAATGTGAATATACATTATATGACTGAATTGTACACTTCAAAAGTATTAGGATAGTAAATGTTATGTTTTACCACTTTTTTTTTTTAATGCCTTAATATACTTCTACCTCTGTTGAGTGTGCCAGTACCAAAAAATGCTTCCTGATGAGCATGTTTTATTTGGGGGTTATTTCCTAATAAAGCTACTGAGAGTCTTAAACACGATGAAGCAGATGAAATATTTTAAAAGCAGAGAGGTTATCAGCACTTTTTTCCCTTTCAGCTTACCACAAGTACACCAAAGACACTGGTTATTTAGTCATATGTGCTATTCATGCAAAGCATTGAATGGTTATAAAAGAAAAACTGCCCCTGGGTCTTCTTCTCAACGCTCTACTCACAATATTTCTGGTCACCAAATGTGTGTTTTTTTCCCTACCAAGCCAGTCTGCTACACAGGTTCCTGTAACAGGAACTGTAATTCAGTTCCGACACTATGTACCCGGAGTTAGCATCAGATCCTGCAGGCTAAGGGCTCAGTCTCACAAGACTGTTCCCCAACCCATTTCCGACACAAATCACAAATCCAGATTGTTACCTGTGCTTCTGAACAAACAGCTATATATCACACCCTCTCCTCACATTGGATTAATTTGTTAAGAGTGGCTCACAGAACTCAGGAAAACAGTTTACTTACTAAACTACCAGTTTATTACAAAAGGATACAAATCAGGAACAGCAGATGGAAGAGATGCAGAGGGCAAGTACATGGAGAAGGGTGCCGAGATTCCATGCCCTCTCCAGAAGCATCATCATCCCAGCACTTATGCATGTTCGATAATCTGGAAGCTGTCCAGATCTCAAAGTTCATGGATTTTTATGTAGGCTTCATTATGTTGACATGATTGACTAAATCATTGGCCATTTAGTGATTGATTTAACCTCCTGCCCCTCTCCCCTCCACTTGGAGGGGGCGGGTGTGTGGAGGTTGAAAGTTCCAATATAAATCATTCAGTTGGTTCCCTGGGCAACCAGCTCCCAGCCTTAGGGAGTTTCCAAAAGTCACCTCATTAACATAAACTCAGGTATGGTTGAAAGATGCTAAGGAAAGACACCCATTTCACTGTTATGGCTCTGGAGCTATTTGAGGAACTGGAAACGATACTAAATACTGTAACAAAAGGTGTTCCTATAGCTCTTATAGAAAATTACAAGGGGGCTTCCCTGGTGGCGCAGTGGTTGAGAGTCCGCCTGCCGATGCAGGGGACACGGGTTCGTGCCCCGGTCTGGGAGGATCCCACATGCCGCAGAGCGGCTGGGCCCATGAGCCATGGCCGCTGAGCCTGCGCGTCTGGAGCCTGTGCTCCGCAACAGGAGAGGCCATAACAGTGAGAGGCCCGTTTACCACAAAAAAAAAAAAAAAAAAAGAAAATTACAAGGGTTTTAGGAGCTGTGTGCCAGGAACAGGGACAAAGACCAAATGTATATTTCTTATTATAAATCATAATATCCCAATGGCAAACAGTATTTTCTCTATTACTGGGTCTCAGTTAACTAACTTGGATGCCATCCTCTTAAATTCAGGCATACTTATGGCTCTTGACTGTCTTTGTAGGCACTTAGAAAGAAATTTTAATACATGTGTTGAAGAAAAAGTATTTATTTGACACCTTTACAAAAATATTTAGGCACATAATTTTCATATTATGTCACCTGATTTACATATCTCAATCCTCGGTACCTTTTAAAAACACTAAAATGGTCATTTGGTAAATAGAATCTGTATTGAAAAAATACTGTGATAGGCCAACATTTGTAGACAAACTCAGTTGATCATCAGCATGAGAAAGAAACATTTATGAACAAAATAATCTCTAAAAACATTTTTGTGAGACAAAAAAATCTAACCAGTAGATTTCTTTTTAAAAAGTATTTTCAAAAAAGCAAGCTTAAAAAAAAACCCACCATAGAATACCTCCTCATACCATGATGAAGTGGCACCCTAACAGTAAGAACTAGAAGGTAGGTTTAGAAAACAGCAATGGTGCCAGAGGTTCACAAACACCAACTGACAAAAGCCTGGACACAGAGGCAGCATGAAGTTGATGCATTTAATTCGGAGAAGGGAAGAAGGAATGTCTGACCTATACAGGAGCTACCTTAAGGTGACAAACTGGGGAAGTTTTAACGGAATCACCATTCTGAAGTCTAATTATCTTCCTCTCAGGTAGAAAATAATTTTTCTTTCTTTTTTTTGTTTTTAATTTACCAAAATACGAAAGTAATTTTATTTTTTTTTAAACAGATGGATTCACCTGCATCACACAATATCCACAATTATATCCAGTAGGTATTTAATAAAAGACGGCCGTGAGCAGAAACCATTCTTTAACCGTGAGCAGAAACTGTTCTTTGAAACTAAGCATTCTAGAGGCAAGAAAGTATAGGGTCACATTTTAAAAGAAATACACTGCCCAGCCTCTAGCATTTTAAGGAGCACAAATTAAGAATCTTAATCTTTGCCTATAGTCTTACCATGAAATAATGACAATAACAACATGTGCTGAGTGCCTAATATGTAGGAGGCGTTGTGCTGAGTAGTTTGCATCTGTTATCTCATTTATTCTGAGTATCTTTTTTTCCCCTCAGGGAGGGAAAAATCAATTACAGCCTCATTCACAAGGAGGACCAGTAGTACACAGCTGTAGCTCTGAGGAAGCAAGAATGCACGCACGAGAGGGAGGAGGGACCCAGGCTAGTCACAGAAGTCTAATGGCCTGGCACGCATCTCAGAGCTGGGGGACTAGTAGGAGTTATAACTCCTCTTAGATTAAAAAAGTGCTTCATTCAGCGCAGTGGGTGGGACACCCCTGATCAGCAGTGCTGACAACTGTGCAGGCAGCTTTTACTCATAAATCACGGACTCCTTTCATCTCAATCGGGGTCTGGCTAAAGAATTATACATTCCTTGAGAACAAGAACCCTGCCCTCTTCACCTCAGATGCCCCAGAGCTTAGCATAATGCCTGGAATTAAACAGTCAATCTTTGCTCACTGAATGACGCCATAATAATGAAAGCAAAGGCAGGCCCTCCCCAAATCCTGGGTTCCTTCCCAAACCAGTCAAAAGTGAAATTCTACTATTCTTTCCACGAAGATCCTACATCAGCGTTACTGATGTGAACTTACCATGCATTCCTGATACACTAGGGCTACAAACAACAAACTTGCAAACATACTTTTCTTTCTTAACCTACGTGCAAGTTGGATCCTACAAATGACTGACTCATACAGCCAACTGCCATATAAGGGTATTAAAAATCACCTGACATGTTAGCAATGTGTACCCTGGCCAACCAGGGTTATTCAAATCAATCTGGCACTGCCTTAAAAACAGACTGGCCAAAGACAACATCACTGTCACTGACTCAGGAAGAGGAGCCACTAGTCACTAATGTGCTTTCAAAATTCTCACCACAGCTCATCTGTCTCAAAGGGCAAATTTAAGCATTTAACTCTATACTGTCTCTTTCTTCCAAGAGGTAGTTAACAGGTCAAAGAACTTTTGCCTTATAAGATGCTGGAATACCAGGTAAATCTCTTTGTGTGTGCCATAACCAAGCCTGCACGTAATTGAAAACAAACTTCAAAACTGGTTGGCCAGTCTATTCAATCTCCAACTTCTCCAGGCTTCTTTCTCTTATCTTGAAATGTTGGTGGCAGTTGAAGGGGGCATCCAGCAATCAACATGGACAGAGCAGAAGCTGTAAACTACTCTACTGCTTCTAAGCATCCAGAAAGTTCAGCATAGGCCAGGAGCCCTGAGGTCATGTGCATCTAGTGAAGTTATAACCATTCATGATTTCCTCAAATAAACCTGGAGAGATGACAGATCTTCAAGGGAACCTGATATCCAAGAAGCAGTTCAACCCCTGGTGGGGTTTTAGTCCAACACCTCTAAATGCACACAAAGTATTTCTAACATTAGAGTCCCCTCCTCCATGTGGCTGACAGAAGAAGGAACAGAACTGCTAAAATTAGCTCCCACGACTTCCCACTGTCCCCAGTGGCAAAACCAGGCAGTGGCAGCAACATTCACAGCCAGAAGTGCATATCAACCGAGGCCAGCCTGGAAGTGAGACAGAAGCTCAGGCATGTAGACTGACCCATCATTCTCCCTGATTCACAAAGCCTATTCCTCTCTGACTCCAAATTCAATCAACAGATTGCCTCCCTGAAAGAGCTCAAGCTAGCTTAGCTGGCAGCCCCATTTCCTCACTCCCTCAGAGGAGAAGGGAGGTTATCATTGGCAGCATGGTTCAGTGGAAAAAACAGGAATTGTGACTTACTAGCAAGTCACCTAACTTTCTCTGAGTCTTGCTTTCTTATCAATAAAACAGGGACAACAAGATATCTTGTACAAGATAATATCCTATTCTCCCACTTGAATTTTCTCAGCTCACATAATACTGGAAAAAAGTGAGCCTTAGGACCCCTTACCTGGAGCTTGTAACTTAGGAGTTGGCCATGAGGCTAATTCTAGGGACCCAGCACCACCGGCCAGGCTTCAATAAAGACAAAATAAGGGAAAGATATGAACGTGAAATGACCTCAATATAATACTTTTTCAAAAATAAAAAGAAATCAAAACCTTCCAGGTCCCCTGTTGAGGCCCCAAAATACTAACTGTTTAGGTCAACAAAGGCCAGTAGATTGCAAACCTAATGAAATGGAAGCCAGAGTGTACACCAACACAAAGGTACCCAGCCTCTTACACAATGATTGCACAGCTGGCCTGAGCAAACACTCATCTCCAAAGTCAATGGATGTCTCTAAGCCAAGTCACACTACTGTGTTCGAGTTAACACCTGACCCACCCAAAGAGGCAATTTAGGCATATGCCCATCCACAGCTGCTCTCCAGGATGCAGCGCCGGTCTTGAGAGAAGCGGGCATGCCCATCAAGTGACCAAGGGAGGTGGGATGTAGGTGGGAGCGTCCAAAGGAAATAGGTATGCTCGTGCCACTCAAGTGGAAAGGAAGGTGATGGCTCCAACACTGACACTGCCAGAGACAGTCCAAGCATCGACAATGGAGAAACATCTAACCAGCCTTTCTCCTCAAACCATACACTCAAAAATATAAGATGTAGACATATTGATTCAAGGATGAGTAAAAAGAGCAGCAACCAAACCCAGAGGTGGGAAGCATGGGGAAACATGATGGTCCCCTTCCCTGCATGCCACTCTCACTCAGAGAAGAAAGGCTGAGTTGCATGGTTTACAATTGCAGCTTTTCACATACATGTGACATACACTGTAGCATGTGGTTTCGCATCGCCGTGGGGCTGGTAGACAGGTGCTTCCAACCCTGCTTACAGATCTGCAGTTTCTGAGAGCTGAAAAAATTTCCATGACTTGTTCATAGTCACAACATCTTCTAAATAAATCAACAGAGCTAAGTCCTCTGTCTAACCCTTGGTCACTATAGCAGGAGTGAGATCAAGGCAACTACCTCCAAAATATCCCTTTACCCCCAGCACTTAGCACAATGCCTGGCACATAACTACATACTCAATACATTTTAGTCGAATGAATGAATCAGAGACAGACGAATAAATGAAGAAAAGGCCTACTTCCTCCGTCCCTTCATTATCCTCATCCTACACAACAAAGAGGGAACAGGATATTTTCAAGGAAAGCACTCTGTTCATCCCATGAGTTCTTAGGGAAGCCAGCGTGGAAACCAATACACTTCAAAGCCGCACACATTTCTTTAGCGCCAAAGATGTCATCTTTGGCAAAAGGAGTGATGACATCCTTATGAAGAAAATGCAATTGTTAAGAAAGAAAATTCAAAGAAGAGAAATTTAAGATCCTTGGCTGCATTTCCAGCAGAAGGAAGGCTCAAGTGCCTCCAGACGCAGCAACGATGTGAATGATGAGGCTCCAGGTGAAGCACTTCATATACGCAGCTCTCAGGGACACCTGGATATCAAACTATGGAATAAAATATTTTCAGAACATTGACGTTTCACTGTTGGCATAGAAGAAAAATAAATTAAAAAGCCCAGTACAGTTTCCAGTCTGATATAAATTAATTCAAATGGCATATTTAAAAGAGTCAATTATAAGTCTCTTTCACAAAATTTTAAAAGGCGGCAATCAATCCTCAGATTGTACAAGTGCAAAGGAATGGTATTTTCTCCATAATCAAGACACCTCAGAATCTGTATAAGAACTGCCAGTGTTCCGAGCTGATCAAAAACTTGGGCCTATGTAGCTGATGCAATCCTCTGGTCATACTGCTCCTTTCCCCTTAATGTCCAGCTTGTTACTGGCCTCTGACTGTTTGCTCAGCTGCTCTTCAGAGAAAGTGATGTAGGAATACACCAGGCTCCCAGCAATGCTGCAAAATAGAAAACCACCATCAGAGAAGAAGGAAGGAATGGCAAATGTAAGTGGTGTGAGCACGGGAGCTACCTTTACAAGTCAACAGCACAAAAAACTAAAACATATAGCATTTTCATCTACCAAACTATAGACATTTCCCTCATCATGATATTATCCACTGCTGTTGATGCTTTGGGAAAATGAATGTTTGCACATACTTGCCAGCAGGAGTGCCAATTTTATATAGCCTTTCTGCACGACAATTTGTTGAAATAAAAACCCTTAGAATTCGGCTTATCCTTTGACCTAGCAATCCATTTCATGGATGAATTGTATACATCTTCACAGACTTATTGACAAAGTATTTACCACAAAATCTATAATTGCAGAAAATTAGCTAAAGGATAAATGTCCCACAACAGGGAATTATATAAATTCATACAATAGAATACTATGCATCCATTTAAATGATATAAAATAAAAACTGGCAATGACAGTATTTTGTAATCTTACAAAATATTAAGTATTGTCCAACCCCATTTTATTTAAATGAACATGAATATGTATATTAATATGCATCATAATAGGAAAATGTCTGAAAGGAACACAACAAGAGTATTAACAATGGTTACATCTGGGGGCTTCCCTGGTGGTGCAGTGGTTAAGAATCCGCCTGCCCATGCAGGGGACACGGGTTTTAGCCCTGGTCCAGGAAGATCCCACACACGGCGGAGCAACTAAGCCTGTGCTCTAGAGCCCGCAAGCCACAAATACTGAGCCCAAGTGCCACAGCTACTGCAGCCCGTGTGCCTAGAGCCTGTGCTCCGCAATGAGAAGCCTCCGCAATGAGAAGCCTCCGCAATGAGAAGCCACCGCAATGAGAAGCCCGCGCACTGCAACGAGGAGTAGCCCATGCTCTCCGCAACTAGAGAAAGCCCGCGCACAGCAACAAAGACCCAAAGCACCCCAAAATAAACAAATAAAATAAATAAATTTACTTTTAAAAAATGGTTACATCTGGACGGTAAGGTTATAGGTGATTTCTATATGTATTTTCTGCATTTTCAAAAATAATCATTCAAGACAAAAGAAATATTATTTTTAATAAGAGTAAAAAGCATCCCAATAAGTAAGTAAACATGCAGACCCTGGGGAGATTTCACAGAGTTGGTTTCTCTCCCACTAGAATCAAGGTCACAGTGGAGAGAACCTGTCATCTGAGCCCTCAAACTCTGAGCTGGTTGCTGCTAGCCCTCACACTTGTCTACCACACCTAACGGCAGGAGGGTTCATTCTTTTGCGACAGTGATTATTCTTGTCTACTCTCACCTGGACTACATAGCCTCCTGCCCCAATCACTAAACTGAAAGCAAGCTGGAGAAGCTCCAAGAGCCGACATGCTAAACTGCCCTGACCAGCTCTGCCACCAAGCCTGCCACCTGTGACTCCCTAGGGTCTCCAGCTGGCAGCCTAGCCTACACTCTTTCAGATGTCTCCATCCTGGATTTGGCCCCCACCTTCTACCTGACCACCTGATTCATAAACTTGCTGCTTATTTGAAATTAGTTCTATTCTCCTCTGGACTTTGGCATCCCGGTCCCAGGAGGGTAAAAGCTGCATAGCTCCTGCAAATAAGGAAGCAAGATCAGGCATTCAGGGTACTAAATAATCAAATTGTGACCATTTATTGAAGTCTACTACATGCCAGGCATTTTACATACATCTCCTGCCACTATAATATCCCTTCAAGGTGCTCATTTTAGGGATGAAGAAACTGAGTCCCAGAAGTCATAAGTTACCTTGCTCAGGGTCACAAAGCATCTTAATGATGGACCAGAATAAAACCCAAGTCTGTCTGATTTTCTCCACTGAATCGGCTTCCTCCCTATAGCCCCTGCTCCACTTGATAGTGCAGGTACCTGGCTTTATATTGTTCCCATCAGCCTATGAATTTCCCAAGGCTTTACTCTTAGCTCTACAGAGTGCCTTACACAGGCCTGGCACTTTGTAGCAGCACAATTAAATAACTGCTGAATTGAATATCTGCTATGGCCCCATTCAAAGAAAGGAGCCTCATGAACCCATCCCTGGGCCAGAGTTCACAGAGCTTCATCTTTTCCTTCATCTGGTTGCTTTCTTCCATTTCTTTTTTCTTCTTCTTCTTCTTTTTTCCTTTCAGAATTTGATCCGACTCTTCTGGAAACTTTTCTTATTTATCTACTGCATCAAGTAGATGATTTCCTTGGTAGCTGGGCTAGGACCCAAGGAGACAGACAGCCTACCATAGCCTTCCTGATCAAAGCTAAAACTTCCTTGAGGTTCACATGTACATCTACATGATAGTCAATTTCCCTTTGCTTCCAACCCCACAAAAAAGTAGAAGGAATGCTCTTTCTTACTTTCATCCTATCCTCCTCTAGATCCCCTCTCCTATGACAACCTAAAACATAACAATGCTCTCTTTTACTTCTCCTGTCAAGACAATCTATTATGTTCATGTTAAGCCGATTTCACCTAAATAGAAATAATGGAGCAATGCAGGATAGAAGAAGACAAAGAACGCCCTGGAATTCACTCTGGACTTCCTCCTTACGGCGATCCTGGGACCCTATATCCCTAGCGTAGTTAGTGTGACAAAAAACATGGACTCTGGAGTTAGGTGTTGGTTCAAATCTTGAATGTAACTGCTAGCTCTGTGCCCCTGGGCAAATCTGTTAATTTCTCTTGAGATTCTAGTTCTGTACTAAAAAGATAAGAATAATACTATCTACCTAGACTTGTTTGAAGAATAAATGAGATAACACGTATAAAGAACCAGGCCCTAATCCTGGCACACAGAGTAAGCAATCAGGAAATATTTATTCCCTTCTCCCCACTTCCATGTAAGCTCCAATACTCACAGGCTAGAGGCGAGATGCATTGTTAACAAAAGGTACAGTGGTATGATAAGGTATAATAAGAAGATTCCTGATGCAAGAAAAGGGCATCTTGTTACCACAGAGTTGTTTAAATAACCAGAGCAAAACCAAAACACAGAAACCATTATTCTTAACTCTGGAGATTAAAGAGTACAGACTGTTCGGGTTATCACAAGTTCCAACATGAGGCAATAACAAAAGGCTTTCATCTCATCTTTATTCCTGACCTGATCATTATCAAACGTTTACATCTTCAGAAATGGCCTTTCCTGAATCACCTGAAAAGAAGTAAATATTCATCGACAAAGACACCATGTGCCAAAAAGCAAGGATGAGTTAATGCTGTGGAAGAATGTAAATTGCTTCCTAGAAGCTTTGGGAATGTGGGGAAGCTGGAAGGAGGAGATGAGGAAGACTAAGAAAAGAAAGGGAAAAGACCCAATTTGGGGGGGAAGGGCCTATATCTAAATTTTTATACATGACTATCAAGTGATTCCGAATCAAAATCTGCTACTTCAAAAAACTTCTCATTAACCCACTGGCTCTACAAATATGCAATTAGAGTTGACCTCTGATGCTCTGGAATTGGTATTTATATATTCGACAATCCTAAACACTGATTTTTAAAAATCTTAAGCAATTCTCCATCTGCCTAATATTCAGATCATAGTACTACCAACTGTTAATTCACTGAGACCTGCTGTGGCAGACACAGCCAGGAAAGAAACAGAAGAAAGAGACAAAGCAAGAGTGTCCTGCAGACAGGGGTCTAGCTAGAATGCCACAAGCCTGGCTGGCAAATGCCACTTCACCTGCTCTGATCCACTTCTGATCTTCCAGAGATCAGGCAAGTACAACCTACCTCTCCGAGACCTACGCAGCCATGGACATGTTTACCAGCCTCATACGATTAGAAATCCATCCTACAAACATACTAAAAACGCCCCTCCATGTAGCAGCTCCATGGCCGCGGACAAGAGTCTGAAGGAACAGGCTGTCTCCATCTCCCCCTGCAGCTGACTTGTCTGTTCACCGGTGTAGCCAGGTAGCTCTGCCTCTTAGATTAGACCCTGCCTTCCATATTCCATGTGTAAAATATGTCAACCAATATCAAGACCTATGAACTAAGACAGTTTGACTTTTACTGCGATTTCCTAATACATGCAATTTCTGCCAAATAATTGAGGCAGGGCCTCTGAGTACATTCCTCCTACAGTGACCAGGGACACCCCATCTTCACTCCACATGCAGGAGCTGCTGGGGACCCTTTTCTCGTCTTTCTCACCAGGCACATGAAGCAGAGCTATGCTGCCTCTTCATCTATCTTCCAGAGCTCCTATCTGAACAAAGGGAAACAGAGAGGTGACACAGGGTTGACTAGAAAGCATTTAACTGTGGACTCTGTGACATTTGCAAAATTCTATAATGTGGGGCAAGTTACTCTCAGAACCTCTCAGAACCTTAGTTTCCTCATTTGTGAAATGGTGAGTAGACTACCACCCTTACAGGACTGATGTGAGAATTAAATTATATAATTTATTTATATAACAATGTTATATATAATTATATGTTAAACCATATAACTAAACTATAGACTTAATAGGACAACAGATCATTTTCAAAAGGTTAATCAGCATACAGCAGACATCCAATAGGGGTAAGAGTCAAAATGCTAAGGCATACCAGGGACGAATACTGCCAAACGCAGAAAGAAGAAAGGGGTTTTGGCAGTTGTCACTTCTCCCCCATCTCTGTGGCTGCACACCAATTTATTCATCCAGAAAGTCAAGGAGTCCTAAGTATAGTAAAACCTTCCTGGTTTTGTCATCCCAATTAGACCTTAATTGTATTATGAGTAAGCAAGACTTGACCTACCCTCTACCATCTGTATTGTATTAGTAACTCTCAGAGTATTTTCCTAGCTGGGTATTCATCCTTCCCATCATGAGACATTCAAGGCACTCTGCACTCGGGCACCAACCTACTTCTCTAGCACAGTCAGCCCTCGGTACCTGCGGATGTAGAACCCACAGATACAGAGGGCTGACCACGGGACTTGAGCATCTGCAGATTTCGGCATCCACGGCAGGTCCTGGAA